AGGATTTGTTAACAGAACGCTAACCACACAAACACAGGGGTAATTTAATTTGCTGGCGCTGCGCTCTACATGGCAAAAAGGGAGTCACCATGGTGCCACTGCCATGGTTTCGACCAAAAAGCTGACTTCAGTTCAAACTGGCCATTGGCAATGGTAATATTGAGTTTTTTTCTAAAAATAATAATAATAATAATAATAATAATAATAATAATAATAATAATAAATTTAAAACACCAAAGTTTGGAAAGTATGGCTACAGCAATAAATAAGCGTTTGTCTACGCGGACCGGAACTCCTCCCCTCCACATCTGGATCATCCCAAGGTGTATTTTTCAGCGTGACTTCCATTCTCTCCCTTCGTCTAGCATTCTGTTCTGGTGAGTAGTGCCCTCCCTTCCTGTTACCACAGCCCGATACTCTACTGCAAACCATGACTCACACTTAAGTCATAGAGAAACTCATCAAAATCCCAAATTTCACAGCACACAGGAACCCAATCTTTCAAGAGGGCAGCATTCTGAAAACATTCCAGAAGACAGAACACAAGACCAGTTCATTAGAAATCGTGTCAACCCATCCCCAAGAAACACAAGCTCAATGTTTGGCAACTTGAGTCTCGGTACCCATTATTAAAATGCACCATGTGGGATGCCATGCGAAAATCAGCTATTTTTAAAAATACGACATGACTCCAAATAAAACCTTGCAAGCACACATGTTCCTGTGCGTCTGTATACACAGCACACATTTTAAAAGACTACAAAAATATACAACGACATGTTAGCAGCAGGATTTTTGGAGATGTTTATTGTTGTCCTTGTGGCTTTCTATGTTTTCCTAGGGTAATTTGTGATATGCTTCACAACCAAGAAAAACAGAAAAAGTAACTTTTAGAAGATGCCTTTTGACTGGTGTGGTTCCAACCTGCTCTAAATCACCCTCCAACAACCAAGAGGAGCTAAGGCGTCTACTACACAGAAAATGTCTGCCCGGAACATACAAGGCTATTTGATGAATGTGAGGGACGTCATGCCACTCACAAACACTAGTGAATAAAAGTAGGCTGAGGAAAGGGTCACCAGGGTAAAATCAAAACAAAGGGAGATCCCTTTGCTTTTTATGCATGATGAGGAGCCTGAGGCCTGGGAAGGAAAGAAGACCATGTCTTTGCCTGCACAGGAAAGGAAAGAGGACTATGTCTTTGCCTACTCACGACAAAGACCTAAAGACCTACTGGTAAGGTGTAACTCCAGGGAGTCCCATCCATGGGGAATCTTTTAATTAAGTGCCCTGAGCTTGTCACAGGTTACGTTTTGTAACATCTGACAATGCCATCTATATGCATATAATTTAGTGGCACAGGACACACAAAATCCAGTATCTGATCACTGAGAAGGAATATTTTAATTTATACACACTGCCTGGAAGTCCTCTAAAAGCAATTTCAGGAAGAGATTTAGGTTCCACAAAGTTATGACAAACATAAATTTTAATGTATGACCTCAGAGCTGCATTTACTGTTTATTTGCAGTTTTTTTTTTTAATTAATTGCTTTCTTACAGAAGACAAAAGGCAAGGCTTTTAATAATTGCTTAGGTAACTTCAAAATTCAACTGGGAGCTGATAAAAAAAAAAAATCCTGCTCTCCCCCATCCAAATACTGCCCTTCCCGTCTGAAAGGCTTCGGTACTGGTTGTGTGACGAGTCAGAGCTGAGAGAGGTTCAAAAATTCAGCTCACAAAAGTCACGGCATCACAATGTCAGTATCTGTCATTCTGTGGCACCAAAAAAAAAAAAAAAAAAAAGACAGACAGGAGTGGGGAGAGACAGACAGAGACAGAAACAGACATAAAGAGTATGCTGCCCTCAGGAAAAGGGTAACTGAAGCCTTCTGATGCCCATTTGTTGAATGAATGCCCATGGGAGCTTTTTATCATCGTCATCATTAAGGTGAATGAGAATGGGTTCCTCCGTGTAAGCACGACTAACACTTGGGGCTGGCGGATTATTTATGGGGAGGTGTCCCAGGCATTGTTGGATGAGTAGCAGCACCCCTGGCATCGGCCGGTGGATGCCAGTGGTACCCTCGTAGGTGTTCTTTACAGGAAGCAAAAATCAGCCCTGAAGAAAAACCACAGAAGCAGATCTCAAGCATCTTCAACAACTTGGATGGACTCTCTGACACCGTCCTTCTTCGGATCAAAACAGTGGTTCTCAAGCAGCGGGTCGCAACCCCCTGGGGGTTGGGGGTCACATATCAGATATTTTCATAAGAGTAGCAAAATTACAGTTATGAAATAGCAATGGAAATAATTTTATGGTGTGTGTGTGTGGGGGGGATCACCACAACACGAGGAACCGTATCAACGTGTCGCAGCGTTAGGAAGGTTGAGAACCACTGGATTAGAGGTTCACGACCTGGACCTCAGGGAACTCTCCTGGAGGACAGGACGATGCATGTGAGCACTCGGAAGGCTTCCCCATCAGTTAAGAGTTCAGCACCAACAGTTTACTGACCACCCACTCAGCACAAAGAAGGGTGCAGGAGAAATCTTGAACTTGGGCCCACTCACTCAGATAGGGTGGGCGGGCTGGGTTGTTTTGGGGGTATATTTGCCACTGAGGAAGTCTGAAGAGGCAGCAAATCCTTGTCAAGAAAGGGTCCTGTGCTTCTAATGGGGGGCTCCCTAAAAGTCTTTGTCCTTTTTAGTAACTCTACACATTTCTAGTCAACATTTAAAGACTTAAGAAAGAAAAAAAATAAAAAAGCCAGAAGGCCTGAGCTATATTTGGCAATGAAAGGCCATCACTTTTCATGCTCTGGGGGTTTTGCAAGCAGAGTCATTACTGGAAGCTCTTAGGACACTTATGTCCGACAGTCTCCTTAACTGTCTGACCTGGACGCCCTCCTCACACAATCTCTAATTTTATAATCCTCATAAATTCAAACCCATAACTGACCTTCTCCAAATAAATGCATGACACAGAAAGGGAGAAAAGGAGAGAGACCAGAGAATATTTTGTTGGGCAGTAAGGCTCAGAAATCGATTTAGGCTCTTTAATAGATGCCCGGAATACGCTGGGTTTCCCAGCGACCCCCCCCCCTCCGCCCCCACCCCCCAACAAAGCCGAGGCACAGATGGGAGAGGATGGGCAGACGTGTGTGTAAAAGAGTTGATTGGACAACAGAGAACAAAACACACACACACACACACACACACACACACACGCACACGCACACACACACACACAAGCATGCACGCATGCACGCACGCACAGAGAAAAGCATGTTCGCCTGAGCACCAAAATGGCCAAAGAGACTTCCAAGTTTTTTGAGACTGCCCTGGAAAGACTGGCGGGGTGGAGGAGGCACCTCTCAGTCAATAAGGCGGCGACTCGCCTGGCTCTCCGCAGGCTGACAGTGGCTTTGCACAAAACCCCTCCTGTGCGGAGCAGCGGAAACTCCCAATGAGATTAGTCGGTGTGTGTGTGTGTGTGTGTGTGTGTGTGTGTGTGTGTGTGTGCGTACAGACATTACTTAGCAATGACTAAAGGGACTCTCTCTTCCTGCGGCAGCCAGTGGAAAATTCAAGGATTTTTTTTTTTCCCCTGCAGCAGCAGAATCCCTTTAACCCTCTCCCCAGCCAACTCCAAAAACAACTCGGCCTCCCCCCCACCCCCAACTGTCCCCACCTCGGGCAGAGCGCTGGAGGGAGTTAAAGGCCAGCAAGGGGCTTTCAAAGAGGGGAGGAAGGGAAGGACGGAGGGAGGGAGGGAGGGAGGGAGGGAGGGAGGGAGGGGGCCGGCGGGGAAGGGGCGGGGGGGGGGGGACCCTCTCGAACACTACAAAGGAAACTGTAAAAGGGCACAAAATACATAAACCTGAGAAGCAGCAAACCACAGTTTCTTTGTGAGCTCCTCAGTGAGTCATTTTCAAGATGCTGTCTGCAGCCAGTTTCCAAGCGGAAGCGCACGGCAATTAGTCTTGCCGTTTCCAGACAAGCCAGAAACTCTCCCGACACTCGTTTTTTTTTTCCTTCTAAAAAGCCCCTTTTGCAGTTTCTGAAATAGCCTTTCTGGCTTCCACCCCCACCCGCCGCGTAACTGCAGCTTATCCTCGGCAATGATTCGGTTCAGAAAACGTAACAAAACAGAGACCTTTTAATTTTTTTTTTTTAGCTCCAGCCCCCAAATTAATCCCCGCTTCTCCCCCCCCCAAAAAAAAATAAAATAAAAAGTTTCAGTAACAATTCAGGCCAGCAGGCAGTTGTTGGCAGTTAAAGAAGTGAGAACTTCAGGAGCATCCCTTGCCCGGCCCATCTCCCAAGTCCGAATCCGGACCAGCAGACTCGGCCGGCTTTTAAAAGGTCCCTTGGACTGGGCGTGCGCCTGGGGCGGTGACCTGGGCGGGGGTCACCTGCCCAGCGAAGAGTGGACACGCAGCCCCGGGCCCCACATCTCCACGGCCCACGTCCTCCACCCGCTTCTCCATCCCTGTGCCCTCCCTGGATCTGAGCACCCGCGCCTTGGTGCCCATCCTGAAGGGAATCCCGACCGCAGCCCCAGCTGGAGGTCAGCGGCGGCGACCCAGCCTCCAGCCACGCAGCCGGCTCCGGCCACCAGTCTCCATCCCAGGGCCCCGGAGCCTCGCTCGCCAGCCTGCAGGGGTGTGGGAGCTTGCACGCCCCGGGTCCCCTTCCACTAGCTTCGCAGCGCAGCCCCCAGGCCGGCGGCACACGAGCTCCCGCGGTGGTGGCGGTGGCGGTGGCGGTGGTGGTGGCGGTGACGGCGCGCAGCATCCTCCCCCGCGGGGACGCACCCCCATCCTCCCCCACCACAATCCACAACCCACACCCCACAGCGCCCACCGCCCCACCCCCACCAGCCCAAGAAAAGAACGAAGGGGGGGAAAAAAGAAAAAAGAAAAAGAAAAAGAAAAAACTACCCCGAAGAGAACTTTGCAAGCGCCGGAGCAACAGGCAAACAGTCCTGCAACCTACCCAGATGTGGGGGAGCGTTTGGGAGTCTTCTTGGGGAGGTTTCTAGGAGGACCCGGGCGAAAGCCCCCGACTTTCCATGCTGACAGGCGTCTGCAGACGGTCTGTTGCTCTTGTAATGAGATCCTGATTTTTCCCCCTTTTTTTCTTTCTCTCGCTCCTCTTTTTTTTTTTTTTTTTTTTTCCTCCGCTGTGTGTGTGAGAGCAGGAAGTTGGAGCAGTCAGGCCGAGCCTGCTCACTTCCTTTACTGCATTATTCCCCAGGCGGTGTGCAGTCTGTGTAAACAGGCTTTTCCGCCCCGCGCCGCGCGCCCGGGGCCGCGGCTGTGCGCCGGGGCTGCTCGCCCAGACCC